GTTGTTAATCAGCGTATAGCCCTCTTTCAAAAACGCCCTCTGCCCTCTTCTTCTTGCATCCTGGACGAGTGGCCACAGCTTGGCGCGCGCTGCTCTGTCTTCACGGGAAAAGTCCTCTTTGAGGTGTATGTGGAGCTCTCTGCACACCGGAGCATCTCTGGACCTCTTCCATACGTCATCCCGGACCGTTCTCGTCACAAATTGTATGATTATGGAACGTGGTGAGGGAATGTTGTGCACGCAGACGACAATTCTGGTTTTTGGGTCCATCTACGAACAGCAGACACAAAGGATGCACAGAGTGTTGGAGCGGCTCCAGCAGGGAAGGGACTGACTCTCAACAACGACAAGGGTCAGTTTGCTGTGGTAAAGGTCATGTTTCTTGGTCATCCTTGTCACGTCACAGGGCATTGAGCAGGACCAGGCAAAATCAAAGCCGATCACGGTAGGATGCCTACACCTAAGGACTGCTGCAGACGTGAAAAAGTTTGTGGGATGGTAACTTATGTGGGAAAGTTTTCCCACGTATAGCTGGAACTCACACAGCCACTATAAGAGAGCTCCTCAAGCCGGACACCGCATGGGAATGGGGGACCGAACAGCAGCGTGCTTTGATGGTACGAAAGGAACTGAGTCGCCCACAGTCTCGCCCAGTATTGTTCTGAATAGAGGAGACAAAAGTTGCGGCAGACGCTTCCCTCCTTTCGGATTGGGTCTTGGGGGGGGGTCCTGTCGCAAAAGCAACCAATAGGCGGAATGGCGTCCGGTGGCTTTCATTTCACAGCAGCATGACAACGCAGGAGTGCGAATGCCCAAATCGAAAAAGAGGCACTCGCTTCTGACTGGGCATTGGAACGGTTTCAGACGTACCTGGTAGGAATGGGAAATTTTTGATCCAAACTGTCATAAGCCTCTCATTCCCTACTAGGCAGCAGAGCTCTCGACGATTTGCACCTCGTATTCTACGGTTTAGATACGATACTTCGCTTCACGTACAAAATAGGAACATGTCCCAGGAAAGAAGAAAACTTAATCACTGCGGATGCACTGGCCAGAGCGCCAATCAAGCGGCTCTCACAATGCAGGAAAGCAGCTGGAAGATGGAAGTGTCTGTGTCCATTAACCAGATTTTGAACAGCTACCAGCATCTGAAAGCAAACTTGGACAACCCCCCCCCCCCCCCCCCCCCCCCCCCCCCACTTAGGGACAGGCACAGGAAATGGGGGACTGTACGTGTAAAAACTGAAAGATTTGGTACAAACTGGGTGGCCACGAGCAGGGAAAGCTCTACCCACCAGAACTTCAAGTGTATTGGCGAGAAAAAAAAAAAAAAAAACAAAACAACAATACCTCCAAGCACATGTGGTGGTAGTCGGAATATTGATGAAAAGTGAAAGACTTGTCATCCAGGCCCACATGCAGGAGGAAATGCTCCAATATGGTACATGAAGACACCAGGGCATGACGATATGCATTGCCAGAGCCCAAAAGTACATATGGAGCCTGGTTTGGGACCAAACCAAAATCAAACACAAAGTTGAAAAAAATGCACAACGTGCGCAAGGCGGTTCACAATACAACGGTGCCTCTATGGACGACACAACTTCTACTAGGCCATGGCAGCGTGTTGCAGCAGTCTCTTTCAGTGGAATCGTGCCATTTACCTGGTGGTGCGTGATTACTTTTCCCGGTATATTGAGTTGCAAACCCTTACTCTACTACTGCTGTTCCAGGGATCAACAAGTGAAGGCCATTTTGCCAGGTATGGGGGTCCCAGAAATCCTCGTCACAGATAATGGCCCCCAGTTTTCAGCAGCTGAGTTGTTTTTTACAGCCTTCGCAAGGGACTACTGTTTTCAAACATGTAACTTCGAGCCCTCACTATCCCTTCAAAGTAAGGCGCGGAAGCAGAGAGGGCTGGAGATCGGTGAAGACTCTCCTGAATAAGGGGGAGGATCCACACAAAAGCTCTATGGAATAAGAGCCACACCTTGGCACACGGCTACTACTGCACAGTTAGTAGGGTGCACTAAAATGTTGGAGCGGCTTTCGAGTAGGGATGTAAATCGGCGACCGTTTAACCGGTGGTTGACCGTCACACAGCGTTAACCGGTCAAAGCTGTCGGTTAAAAAAGAGAAAATGGGGAGAGGGGAGGTCTCTTAATAACGCTATTTTAAGCCCTATTTGCACGGTGTGACGAGCGGGTCTGTATCTAGCTGTGTGCGCCCATGTATTATAAACTCCGCTAAACAACCGCTTTGTGACTCTGGTCTGTGAAAGGCGTTATATAAATAAAGCTTACTTACTTACTTACACATACACACACATACCGGTCTGTCGCGCTCCTCTGTGTCACGGAGCCCAAAGGATTCGCGCAAATACGCGGCTCCAGTCAAACCACATGGAACATGTTTGTGTTTATGGTCCTCGGGATCAGCTCCACACACATCACTTGTATTTAAACTTTTGTGAAGACCTGTGAGACGCGGCTCGTCACTCGCTGCTCTGACCATGTGAACGAGCCGTCGTTTGCTGCTAGAAAGTTTTGGTATTAACCTGCAGCACAGCAGAATGGGAAGATTAAAAAAGCAGTTCTCTGTGCGCAAAGGTGCCGGAGCTGTTGCGGGTTTTGGCGCCGCTGTCTCAACTCTGATCCAGTAGAACGCAGAGCTGCACTTATGAAAAGTACGCGGCTCGAAATGGCTGTTATTTCAAAGAACGTGGACTATTTTAAACTATGCGGTTAACCGGTTTCAACCGGTTAATGAGGCTCGGTGGTCGGTCATGAAAATTCATAGTTTTTTACATCCCTACTTTCGAGTCGCTCTGAACCCAGAGAGGAGCAGGGACGTGCAGTCAGGGGAGGCAGGGGAGGCAGAGCCTCACCTGCCATTATTGGAAACTAATAATTATTTTAGTTTAAATATATAATTTATATCCACTGTCCTATGCTTTTAATGTATATTCGGCACGGTTCCCATTAGTTTTGATCATTTCTGAAGTCAAAATCGCCGAAATCCCGTTATTCCTATTCAAAGAGACGAGGTGAGGCAGCGCTCCTGCGTGCCTCACCCCAGACCGCTCCCTCACAGTGTGTGTGTGTGTGTCTGAGTGCACTCAGCTCGTGCAGTTGATATATCACCGTTTGTTTCAAATATCCTGCTTTAAAAACATTTTTTAAACTCCTCTTAGTGTTTAGTAGTGTATTGCACGTATGTGTGTACAATTTATATTTAGTTTAAGTCTTTTGATCGTAGATGAACACACAAGGAAAAAGCTTGGCGTGAGGCAGGCGGTATCTGTGCCTCACCGCTAGGGGTGATAGTGAGCATAAAGTTCATACCAGAGTTGCTAACAAACAATCAGCCCAAAATGCTATTTCTTTTGCTGGAAAATGGATGATTTGAATGAAGATTTTTTTCTCAATTGGACTTTCAAACAAAGAAAGAATTAATATAGACTGGGAGACCACCACTGGACTTACGAGGTTAGTCCGGCTGCGGGGGAGGAGTTTGTTAATCTGTGTTTTATGTTGAACATTGACAGATACCGGCAAAGTAGTGCTTTTCCGAAAAACACTGATTCAAACACTGCTCAAGAGTTCTGCAACTTGTTTAAATTATTGTTTATGTTCCTCGCGTCTCTCTCTCCTCGCGACTCTCTCTCCTCGCGTCTCCGTCTCTCTCTGCTCCTCGCGTCTCCGTCTCTCTGCTCCTCTCTGTCTCTGTCTCTCTCTGCTCCTCTCCGTCTCTCTCTGCTCCTCGCGTCTCCGTCTCTCTGCTCCTCTCTGTCTCTCTCTGCTCCTCTCTCCTCGCGTCTCTCTCTCCTCGCGTCTCTCGCACCTGCGCTTCTTAAAGATGTTGTTTGATGCGGAGCAGAGTCAGCAGCTAGATTTGTTGTGAGATTATTAAAAGAAGCTGGTTCTCTTATCTTTACAGTATATAAAGTTTGTGGATGTCATTGCATTGGTGATTAAATGCTATTTTATTTGAATAATGATTGTAAATCTGACTTTTAAAGTCAGTGCCTCCCCAATCACAAACCTCACCGCACGTCCCTGGAGAGGAGAGGTGTACCGAGAAGGAATGACCGTTGAATGTCTGTCGGATATCCAACTTCAAACTAACTTCACCGCGGTACTACAGATGAAAAACTACCGCTTGGCTAATTCTGGCATATTTGCAGAAATGTTAATTAATATGCACTGTCCCTGTAACAAATAAATAAGCCATTAAACACGTAAAAACGTGTCAAATGTCGATCTCCACCATCTAAGATTGTTAATAATCGATACTGTTATGTTTCTATGTTTAAAATAGATGTACCGTATGTACAAAAAGTAAGTACGACAGTCCGGGTTTCGTAGTGCTGTTTACTGGCAGTTGAGCAGAATGACAATGACAAAATGTAACGGCAGGTTGCGCTCTATCACAGGTCACGCAGCACGTAAGATACATGTGACGTAAGGATCAAACAGAATGTGATACAATGTTGAATGATGCAGTAATGTCTCACAGCATATTCTATCACAGAATATTACAGATACAACGATAAGACAACGCTAAAGCTTTGACAGCAAGCTCCCGCATTATATTTTACAACGAACGAGGCGTGCACTGACTTCGCCTCATCAACACTTGAATTATCACTTGAGACAGTGTGCACGACGATAACCACTCACCCCTGGCTTTATAAGAAGATAAGAGAGTTTACCTTTGCGTTTGGAAGCGGACTGGGCCCTCATATATGATTATATGGTAAAAACACATGAGCATTGTTTACAACTGAGAGAGAGCTACCACGATGCCGCCATATTGCCTTGACACGTGACCGCAGCCAGAGCCCGCCCACTGTGACGTCCCCGGAAGTTCCCGGTGCTGATCCTTTAGCATGTTAGCATGTTAGCTAACTGTGCTTAGCATGTGTGCGTAAAAGTGGCGCAAACATCCGTCCGAACGTCTTCTATCGAGGAGCCAAACACTTCATAGTTGTCGCCATCATGAGCACGCTGTGGATGGGAAACGTAAGGTGTTATTTTCTCGTTTTCGCAGTTATTTAACACGGACGTTGCCTCATGTAGTACTTTAGCTTTAGGGAGCAAGCACCTGAATAACTTTCTTCAATGAAAACAAACTATTCTCTCTTTTTATTCGACCCCTATTACATATTGGAGTCTTTTGTAACCGTACTAACTTGCTTTTGTATTGAGTTTAGAAATTATTATGTTGTTTTCTATGAGGAATTCGTGCGTATGAGTTATTATAGATCCGCGATAAGAAGTGGGATTGATGATTATTTAAAACAAAAACGTCATTATTTACTGTTAATTTTTATTTCCAGGAAATGTCCCAATTGAACGTTATATGTTAAGTCAAATGTCTTTCTCTCATATTACTTGATTTATTTGACACTTTTTAAGGACTCGCTCAGGCACCGGATCCATAGTTTATAAGATAAAGAAAGAAAACTGTTTTTCTTTATTTCTCAGTGAAAAAAACTAGGCCTTTTTAGAGTACTATTAATAAAGAGAAAGTAAATCTACTAACACTTCATCTACTGATTTAGTGAAGAGTGAGTAGTCCTCTCTTTTGTTCAGATCACAACATGCATATAGATGGGTCGCCCTAGTGCCAATGAAGGATGTGCCAGCTGCAGAAACTCCAAAGTCTGAAGTTGTTTTTTAGAAAACATGTTTAGGGAGTTCCTGGCCGAGTCCTGGTTGAGATCATGCGATTTTCAACAGTTTATTTTAACCAGCCTTAACCAAGTTTACGGCAGGAAAGGGAAACCTTTTTTAAGGACATAAATTCCCTTACCAACATCTTCTATTATGCTGACCCTTGCTGCTCGATAGACACCAGGGACCTGGCAGGAGGGGGTCAGTGGAAGCAACTGAGGCCAACTCCATACAATTGCATCCCTCTGGTGGAAGGGACTCTGACCGGCACCAGTGTGCTGCATGTATCATTCATAATTTCATGTGTGAGAAGTATAACATGCTGCTGTGCTGACTACCACTCTATGCATAAAACGGTGATGTGATCTGAAATTGTGTAACAATTATCCCAGTGCCAACTTCTGGATCCAAGCCCAGTCTATTTTCACTTGAGTTCCCACTTACTACTACTACTGTTGTTCATTGTTGCCGTCCTCTGCTCTCCAGCTGGAGCCCTATATGGATGAGAAGTTCATCATCAGAGGGTTTGCCACAATGGGGGAGACGGTGCTCAACGTGCGCATCATCCGCCACAAGATGACTGGGTGAGCTTTGTCAAAAACATGTTCTATTTTGCATACATTTAATAACACTGAATTATAACAAAATACAGCTAGACATAACAGAAAACATCATACACCAAGGAGAGATGGCTGGAGAGAGAGAAAGAACCCCGGAAGGCTCTGGGCCTCAGCATTGGGCCTGCAATATGTTGCATAGAGAGTTTACACCGACCAAGAGCCCAAACTAGTCCATCCCAGCTCTCTATATACTGGATGTGAGGTCACCAGCCCCCATGGATGGGGGACCTGGACATCAGATAAGGGGGAAAATTCATACCAACACTTGAGTTTGTAATAACTGGCGTTAATCTAACTTTGGCTTCTGATGTAAATAGTTACTATCAGTGGGAAGAGGCTCATTACTTTGATCATAGTGCGATCGATCAAACACAGGAACTCAAGTTTTTTTCTCATATTTTTTATGCACTTGCCCCTCTGCACGTGCATGAGAGCCCCACACGTAGTTGGGACAAAGCATCATGGGATCTCACGGGGGTTTATGAATCTTATGGACAGAGATTTGACCTGGAGTGTGGACTCTGAAGCACTTATAGTAACGCTGCAGGTGATCTGTATTTCTGTTTGATGCACAGGCGCAGTTGTGCAGCTTCCATAAATGTATGTTTGCTTTGTTCTAATGTGTGTGGATTCATTAGATGTGTGTGTGGGTTTGGTACAGTGCTTCTGCCAAATATTCTGTGACTTACAGATGAAATGATGCTTGGGGCTTTCTGCTTGTGTTTGCAATCTATTATATGTTATTTCAAGTATAGTAAGATGAGAGATCCTTTATTAAGCCTAGTGTATACTTGCGCGGCGTGGCTTACGTTAGCGGTTGCGGTGGACCTACGTAAGCACAATTGATGTTATAATGGCGCGTTCCCCTTACGGAGTTTTGAGGAGAATGTTGTAATCCCACAACAAACCACATGAGGGCGATCACACAGGAGCGGTCCCATACGCTGCTACTTTGTCCTCTTCAGAACAACAATAGCAAACAAAGCTGTTTGAGCTCATTACACGTGTTTCTACTGTAGGTTTATGCGATAGTTTTATGGATTCATTATTTTATAAGTCATTTCAACTGTGATGCTGTGAATAAAGACACAGTTCTGGTTGGAAACATAGTTAGTATTAAATTGTTTTCAGCACAAACAGCAAAACAATAATAGTGGTAAATATCTGAGACAAACATGAACGATTTACGAGTGCAGGAGGAAAGCAACAAACGCAGCTACGACTCAAACAAGACAGGAACAGTGCAAAACAAATGACTGAACAGTTTATAAGTTATATATATGTTAGATATTCCACAGTCTCCTGTATATCAGGCTCTGAGCCCAAACTGCTTTTCCTTCGAAGCACAAAGCTCTCTGCTCCATAGTGCCTCGTCCATTGTCCCTGCTGCAGCCGCTTCATGCTTCCTTCCAATACACACACACGGACCAATCACAGCGGAGATTCCTTGCGGCGACCCTTACGTAGTTAGAAAATTTCGATGCTGCGCGGCAGGCAACGTAAGGGCCTTGCGGTGACCAACGCGTTGCGCAAGTGACGTCACCTCCGTAAGCTCCGCGCGAGTATACACTAGGCTTTAGTCTCACAGTGGGGACATTTCAATGTTGCAGCACACAGGCAGAACAGTAGTAAGAGCACACAAGGAGTATATACAATATGAGTAGATGCTATGTTTCTTAGATGGCTGTAAATGCTTCAATATCAAGATATATCTATTACTAAAGGCTAGTTTTTAGAATACAGTTAATTCTGAAAATCACGGAAATACATACTTTCTCAAATTAGGTTTTCAAGTTGACAAAACATTGGGTATTCCTAAAGTGAGTTTTTTCGGGGCGTTATATGGCAGCTGTTAAAGCACTTTGACTTGTCTTACAAAAATAAAAACAAAAAAATTAATTAAAGAACAGAACATATTCTATTTATTTAAACTTTTATTGAGGTTGTGGTTTTATATATCTTGAAATGTGTCTTTTTTATAAGTTTTGTAATTAAACATAAATTTACAATGAATACAAATAATATAATAATAATTAAAAGTATAAACAAAAGTATTCTAAGTATTCAGAATACCAGTACTTTTTACAATGAAACAGAATAACAAAATACATTTTAAACAAGCTTGAACACAGCGGATACAATGAATTTCAAAACAGGTTTTCTGCCTGGACGTTTACAGAAATCTCACTTGAGGCCTATAATTTAAATATTTTTCCTCTGCGACAGACAACAGTTTAGCCCTAAACCCCAATATAATTCATCCATTATCGGTATTGGCCAATAAACCGTAAGCTATTGCCATTTCAAGATCCGGCGGGTTTCTAAGCACGTGAACTCTGTCCAAGGGACAAATGTAACACATTAGGAAACATTGTATGATTGTTACCAAAACTGATAGAAAGGCATATAACTGCTTGCAGCTAACCGGATTATCACGTTAGCATCTTACACGTGGTCGCTGCCAAAATCTTTCACCTAAATCGCCCCACAGGAAAAAAAAACAACACACAAGTCTATTTTATTTGCATCTTTGACAAATAACGAAAACTAACCTGTGGCTTGAAATACCATGATAATATATGCTTGCAGGTTCGGGCAGACAGAAGCCCACTCGGCTCTGCCGGCTGAAGAGGACGCCATCTTTGGCTGTGGACAAACGCTTTTTGATCTCGAGTCACACGTACCAATCTTAACCTCTGTTGGGGTCGAATTTGGGAGGCATGGCGCCGCTGTAGTATTTTCAGTTCAGATGTGGCGGTGAGGGTGTAGATGAGCCCGGTTCGGGACGACCAGAAAATGTTGCACCTTCACCGAAAGAAAGAAAGGGAAGACCAAGCACCGGAGGGAGATGGTTTATATACGGAGAGGAGATACCGCGAGAGGCGGGTTCGCAAGTACTGAAGAGAGTGTGGAGATACCGCGAGAGCTTGCAAGTACGTGAAGAGAGAGGGGAGATACCGCGAGAGCTTTAGCGATTAGGAGAATAGGGCTGGAAAGGATATTGGCCCAGTTCCAATACTCGCACTTCCACCTCGCGACCATCATTTGCGCAGTTCCGATGATGGGTGCGATGTGCGTAGTTGGATGTCCATTTCTCCAATTCTCCAGTGAGGTCTTTGGGCCTTTGCGCTCCTTTTTTGTTTTTTTTTTTTTTTTTTTTTTTTATTGAATCAATAACTCTTGCATAGGTGACTTGACCTTAGGAAAATAAAAAAATGTATGCATTACATGGGGATTGTACAATTGAGGCAAATCAGTTAATCAGAGACACATAAGAATAGGCTACAGACATTTCTAACATCATAAGGATTTTTAGGCATAGTGGCACAAATTTCTATTGCAATGCAGATTTATGCAATTTTAACGAGGAATAGTAGATTCTGAAATCATTCAAAAATGATTGGAACCAGGGGCTTGACTTTCTCTTTGATACAATGAATTGGTATTTGGTCTAATAGAAAAACAATATTTTACAACATCTGTGACTTTCCTATCTAAGTCTTTGACAAAATAAAATATGTGACTCAATTCCAAAATCAGAAGACCATTCTTTAAGGAAAGCCACTCTCTGATGTCACTCCAAAATTTACGATAGACTGAACAGGTGAAAAACAAATGGCTCAAGTTCTCAGGACATCACAAAAAGTACAGCCTGAGTTTTCATACTTAAACGTTTTATAAAGAAATTGGGGGGGGGGGGGGGGGGGGGGGGGGGGGGGGGGGGGGGGAAAAAAAACCCCAAAAACTGGATAAATTTTGTGGACAATCATCTTAAAGGTGAGTTTCTTTGACTTTTGTGGAATTGGCCATTTAATGTACTTGGCGAAGGCCTCATTCAGTTAAAACAGAAACTTCCTCATTGATAAAACTACCACCATAAGACAAGATTGAAAGCATCCAGTTACAAACTTTGTTATGCATTTCTTATCGACCACAAATTTAGATTGTTTAACAGTAAATCGGGCAATGTTGGAGTGACAGTGGAGTGAATTGAACCTTACGGATCAGATGAATCAAGGCTGGAGGGATGCTTTGCAGACTTTATGGATAATCTCGATGTGTACATATAAATTAAACGGTTGACAAATGTGTTGTGCTCCAATAGTCTCCCATTACTGTCTAAGACTTCAGTTACTAACAAGACCCCTTTATTACAAACCACTCTGACTTAAAAATTGATTTTCTACTATAAGAATAGACTGTTATTCCACAGAAAGATCCATGAGGGGTGAAATTGTGCTTGAAGATCAGTTTCCAATATTGGTAATAACTGGTGTGAATTTTGATAGAGCAAATTCACATCTCACACTAAAATATAGACCCCCGAATTTGTCAAAAATAGTCTTAGGGATATGAAAACCACATACTTGCTGGTGAAGAGAAAAAAGCTTGTTACACCAACTGACTCTAAATGATCCAATCAGTGCGTTCAAAGTCTAACGCTTTAACACCTCATTACAATATTCTTTAACATTGGTAGATCTGTTTCAAGTATGTGCTTTGTTCGACCCATAAGAACTGGAAAATAATTGAGTTGGCTTTCTGATGTTTTCTATTTGGGGAAATGATAGGGTTGACAAGGATAAGATTAGTCTTGATACAACCCTCTTGCTTAGAAAAAAGAACTCTTCCAAAAATGGTAAAGATCCCTTGTAAGCAATGATTTAGAGCACTTTTTTATATCAACGATCGTTTCTCTAGTTAAGGTCTTCCATTTTCTCAACATCTTAGTATATAGTTAATCCTAAATATTTGATTTCAGATTTATCATTGATGGAGTTGATAGAGCTCCGCTCATGACAAGCATTGGATTGACACAGTTCACACTTTTTAAGGTTGAGAGGACAAACCTGATGCCTCCGAAAAGGCAGCGATCAGATAGTAGAGCAACACTCACCATGGTCTTGTCTTTGAGGAAGAGAGCTGTATCGTCTGCCAAACTGTAATCTTGAATTCTTTTCAAATATTGGATTCCTTGCATAATTTGGATTATTCATTATTGTAAAGTAAAGTATTTGTGTTGTTAATATGAACAATTTTGGAAGAAATTGGACAACCTTGGCGGATTCCCCTTGACATTTTAAGCTAGGGAGTCACAGCGGAACCTAAAGAAACGGAGCTACTTATATCTGACATAAAACATGTTGATTATTCTGCAAAAATTATCCCAAAAACCTAATAAATTTCAGTGTTTCAATAAGAATGCGAGTTCAAGTGAGTCAAAAGTCTTTATAGAAATCAAAGGAATAATAGTAAACTTTGTTTTCTATAATTTGCCGATAGTCATCATGTCTGACAAGCCTGTTTTCACACGAGACATTTTAAAATTGTCGGGCCGATTTTTCTCCGTGTAAGACCCCCCACAGGGGAGATTAAAAAATCCTGCGTCTAACCACTTGGGTGTGCAGTGTGAGGTGCGTTGCCACACGGCAAGATCACGCAAGCCACAAACATCACACACGAACACGACACCCCCCCCCGAGCAGACCAGGTCAGACGGTAAATCTCACAAATTCTCTCGAGTTCAAGCTGACTTCAGAGTAAACAGTCATGGCGACCGAAGAGGATGCAGTGGCCGATATGTGCTAGTTTGTTGTTAACAGAGAAGAACACGGAATCCCCAAAGAAAAGGCAATGGTCAATGCCATGCTGCTGTGTTTTGGTTTGTTTTTTCCGTGTTTCCTCACCGGTTTGTCACCTCGTCTTCTTTTTGGCTACTCGCCGTCTGGTCATGGCAACGACGCTCGCTTGTCCTCGGGGGGACACCACACACGAGATGAATGGGCCAAAACAATCCAACATGTTGGATATCCACGATTTGAGATCGGGAGCAGGTCCCGATGTCTTCCGCTAGCGACGAGTGCAGTCTTAACACACCCTAACCGGCAGGATTAAATCTGTAAGATTTTGTTACGGACATCGTGGCGTTTCTTAAGATTGTCGTAAGGGGAAATCGGGTCGAAATTCGGCCTAAATATCCTGCCGTGGTGTAACAGGCTTTAGATAAGTCTTGATGTGAAAGTGTTTATACTTCCCTTGATAAACGCGATTGGACATTCACATAACAATATCAGCTAGAGCTCTATTCAATCGGTTGGCATAGATAGAGGCATTAATTTATAAATCTAGTACACAACAACGTGATTGGTCGGGCCAAGTATCAATTAAAAGAGGGTCTCTATTAGCTTTGCGGATCAGAGTAATAGGGCCACGTTTCATAGTGGTGAAGAATTTTGAGCGCTTTGTAATACATTCAATAAGGGGCTTTGAATTACTAATTGACAAATATAAAACCCAATAAGAAAATAAAAAATTCAGCAGTCACGGCCGTCGAGGCCAGGTGACTTCCCTTGGCCTATTTGATCGGATTGCTGTATCAAGTTCTTAATAATCAAAATATCTTCCCATATCACTTTTAAATTCATCCTTAATTTTTCCTTTTCCCATCCCTACAGATTTGATTGAATCAAAAAAGGATTTACAGCTCGGCTCGAGAATTTGTGTGGTTATAGTTGGGAAGTAAAATGTAAAGATTTGATGAATAAATTTTGTCTGACTCTTCAGTTAGACACCAATTTATATTTATATTTAGAAAATTCTCTTTTTTGGAATTGTCTATGATTCTCAAGATAAAAAATACGATGTATTCTTTTCACCTTCCTCAATCCTGCTTAGCCTTAGGACCGAACAAAAGCACCTTAAGCCTTCTCCTAGAAAAAAAAGTATCAGTTGGTTTTTAGAGTCACTTGTTGTTCTTTTTCTTTCATTTGATAACTATCTTTAGGCACACATGAAATGTAATTGCCGTGATAATTTCAGTTTGGTTTCGGCTCTTTTCTGTTGAGCAGAGAGTTTTCCCTGTCTTAATGCAATTTCTTTTACTTTTGAATTTTAAACCACTCCCACTTATTCAAGGGTGTTATTCAAGGGAGTTTATTTCAGCAATGAGATGTTCTTTCATTGAATCATTGTATAAAAGAGTATGGTTGATTTCCAAATGATGAGTGGTGGAGGTCTTTTCTTGTTATTTTTAAGGTAAGACTTAGAGTACAGCACAGGGGTCAGGTAAGGGAGAGGGCAGTGATTTGACATTGAGGATATGTATTGATCCGCTTGGTGTGGTAGGAAGCCAATAGTCCAGCTCGAGCACTGACCATTATTGAAGCATTGAACCAAGTGTATGGTTCTTGTAATACTGTTTCTTAATCTTCCAACAGTCAATTAGCCAGTATTGTGAATCAAATCCAAAAATTTGTTCAATCAAAGGCGTTCTGCTGCTCCCTAGTGGGGAGCTATCCACTGCATTAGTTTGGGTACTAAAATTAAGTCACCCCCAAGTATATGTTACTCATCAGATTGTTTGTTTCCATTGTATAATTCTCTCACACAAATCTGCATGAATTTCTTTTTCTGGGATTTAACAATTGTAGCCATCTACGTTATTAATATTAATCTGGGAATTTTCTATTTCAACCACTACCATAAGCCATATGTCCGTTTGTGTCACATTAAAGTCTATTATTGTCCCAGGAAAATCATCACTCCAGATGAATGCGATGCTGCCATGACTGAAATACAGAGTCTCCCCATTGTTGTTTCCAAAAATGTTATGTCTTCTTTTCGCGAAATGAGTCTCTTGCAGGAAAATTACAGTTCACCTTCTGCTCCTTACAGAAAAGAAGAAGTGCCTTAC